GCCCCTTTTTTCCTGCCCTGGAAATCGGGAGAGGCAAGGGGACAACCAGAGCAACACCCCCGGGCAAGAGGGGGCAGTGGCAGCGCTGCCCGTGGTGCACAGAACCACCTCCTTCTCCGTCCTCGACATCCTGGACCCTAACAAATTCAACAGCAAACGGCGGCACTGCGCGCTCTTGTACAAATCGGGGGGCTCCGAGTTCCCGCTGGGGGCGGACGAGAAGCCCGAGGACTCAGGGACGGAGCTGGCCCAGCAAAAGGCTCTGGCCGAAGATTTCGACACGTGCAAGAAGTCCGCGGACCTGAGCAGTAAGTAGGTCTTGGGGGGGGGTCGGAGACCCCCCCACCCCCGGTATGGGGAGGGAGGAGGAGGAGGGGGCTGCAGCCGGCTCCCCGAGGGATGCATGCTTGGAAAGACCGGCCTCCCCCGCGGGCAGCCCCGGGAGGTAGATGGAAAGAGGTGGAAAACGGGGTTAGGTTGGGGGGCGGCAGGGAGGGGGGACACGGGCCCGTCACCCCGGGACAGGCCGGGGCTGGCGGCGTGCCCCCCCCCCGGGCCCGGCACCCCGGACTCCCTGCGCTCAGCCCCGCTTGTCCCGGGTTCTTCGACCTGTGCATCCCCCGGGAGCCGCAGGATCAGTCCCGGGCCCGGCTGGGATGGGGACACTTCCCACCATCCTCTTCCTCCTGCCGGGAAGAAGCAGCCCGGGGGGGTGAGCTCCGGCTCCGGCAAACTTGGAAGCGGCTCCTGGGGCTTCGGAGGGCCGGGGATGCGAAAGCCTCTCTCCGTACCCCCCACCTCTCCCCAAGCATTTATGACTTTTATGTATCTTCTCCCCAGCCTCCAGACCCGCTCCCCACCCCCCCCCAGCAGCCTGCCGCCCGTTGCTCTGGGCGACAGATTCAATTTTCTCTCTCCCCTTGGCTTTTTTAGGACAAATCAGACTAATTGTGACAAAATGCTGGTTATCTCTGGAAAAACAATTAAATTCCTTCGATTACATTTAAGGTAAAATGTGCTTAGCAGCGTAAAGAGGCTGGATAATGGGGGAAATCGCCCCAGAGTGGCATGTAGGACTGCCTGGATCGATATCCTATTATCGAATTGTGCATATCTCTTTCAAGCACCTTGCAAACTCTTCCCTAACATCTAAATTATAGGGTCAAAATTCGGATAATTACTCGATTAAAACCTATTACACTTATTAGGGCTCGCTATTGATCGGGAATTGCATTCGACCCAGGCTCTAGATTGCTTTTTCTTTCTGGGTCCAAATAGCCCAACTTTCTCACCTCTAAACACCGCGACTCTGGGGACAGCGGAAGGTTTCCAGGAAAAGACGGGAGTTGTGAAAAATATCTACAGCTCTTCTGTGTCCTGAGAGGGGAGAGAAGGGGCGGCCAGCGCCGGGGGATAAACTTCTCGGCGAGGGAAAAATAATTTCTCGGTGTCTGGGGCGGGAGAGGAGGACTCGGAGCTTTCTAACCCCTCCATAGCACGACTCTTTCCATTAAAATTAGGCAGCGAAAAAGGTCTGGAATCTGCTCCAGCCCCAGCCTTTTACGCATTTCTAATCTCAAAAGCAAAAGCAGGAACGGGACATTAATAGAATTCAAAGGAAATTTTTTAAAAGCAGCGCGTAGCTGGGGTAATTATTCGTCTAAACTCATCTGACTTTTGTCATACTAAATAGATCTGGGCCATCAGAAAGACTGACGAGGTCAGCCTATCGCTAATCTCACACTTTTATCTCCAGACAAGGAGAGAAATGCGACCCTATCACGGCTCTAAAAATAAATATATTTGGAGGCATCACGAAAAGGTTTGCTTCTCCTGCTGACAAGTTCCCCGGATACTTGGCACGTTTAGCCCTTCGGTCCTACCGCCTTAACGGTACGGCAACAGATCTGGGACTGCTCGAAAAATCACGAAATTTAATTCCTCCCTTTCCCCATCGTAATTAATATTAGCTCAAGCCGTGGTTTAATTTAGGAGAAGTGTTCCGAAAAGTGGCTCCGGCCAGAGAAGTACCAACACCCGGAAAATGCAAAGGCTTTCTGGCAAACAGAGTGAAGACAGCGCTTGTCGCACACCGCTCGTTAATGTAACTCATTTAACGTTAAAAAATAACGGTTAAAACTCCGAATTAAATTAACATTTAACGTCTTGCAGAAACCAAGTCGCAACTCCAGCGTCAATCTCCTTCGCCAGTTGTATTCGCGCTGCTTTTTTTCTGTTTAAAGACAATTTTAGCTGAGCCGCGGCTGGGATTTTCTGGAGTTTACTGGAAAAAAAAAATAAACTCTAAAATACCAACGACGCGTCCCCCGACCAGGACGTGCGAAAGCGATGTGCGCTGGCGTTGCGCTCAGTCCCCAGATCTGCCCCGCAGGCGTATCTACACAATCTATAAATTGTTGTTTGCAAAAAAAAAAAAAAAAAAAAAAATTACGGGCTGCAATTTATAACAGATCCTACAGGTTGCAGGATGCTCGTCCGCACGGGCTGTGTCAGATTGGGGAAAATATCCCCAGGTTCAAAGGGGTGTACGGCGGCCGTCACCCGCTTTTTCTGCGCATCGGTTTGGACAGAGAGCTGGAAAGGACTCTTGGTGAACCCCGAGTTATCAAGGGATGTTTTCCCGGTGAAGAGGATTCCAATAAAGTTCTCTGCCCCTTTTTCTCCTAACGAGCCAGCCCTATCCGACGTTAGCCGAAATCAGGTCGTCGAACAAACCGCACTTTTTGAACCCCCCCTAATCTCGTAGACGGGCTTTAGGGTGTCCGGCGTTAGGGTACGGACCAAGTTTGGGGTGCAACAGCGCGTTCAGATTTTTGAGGAAGAAAAAAGTACGCACGGGCTAAGGGTGACAGATGAGCCATTCACTTTCTTTTTCCATATCCCGGTTGAGCAAGTTAAAGGAGCCCGGGTTTAGGGGGTTCCCGGAGCTGCACCCCCGTTGCAGCTGCGAGCGGAGGGAAGTTGAGGAGTGGCTGGAAGCAGCGGCTGAAAAAAAGGGGATTTGGGGGCCTCTGCCCCCCCCCCCCCCCCCCCGGCCCCGGTGCCTCCCACGATCCCCGTCCCCGCGGCGGGGGACCGCGGAGAGGATTTGCCCCCCGGAGGAGTCCGAGCCCCCGACCGGGGTCAGGAGGAGCCGGGTCTCTGGAAAATGCCATTTGCTTTCAGGCTTCGTAATGACAGAACCGTCAGCAGAAGTCCAATAGCCTTAAATATCGGATAATTACCCTGTTCTCCGATGGAGACCCGTTAATTGGAGCGTGATATAAACCCAAATAAATTAAATGACCGTTAACTAGTTTGTACATTACACAAAATGAGTTTAATTAAGTTTGTATCTGCTCTGCTAATCAATACAAGTATTTACTCCACTTTAATACTTCCATCTCGGGAAGTGACAAGAGGTCAAACCGGGCGGAGAAAGGGTTAAAAACGCCAGAGCGGGAAAAAAAACCCCAAACACCGGCGGATCTCCCACCGATGCGGAAATTTCCCCCGCTAAAAGCTTTAAAAACGATGTGACACCTTTGCCGCCCGCTGCCAAAGCCGGGCTGGCTCGGCCCGGGCGGGGACCGTGGGGAAACCCCCCCCA